CAAAATAGTCACAAAAAATATGAAATACCTCAGTATCTTTCTAACCAGAGAAGTGAAGATCCTTTATAACGAGAATTACAAAACACTGCTCAAAGAAATCTAAGAAGACACAAACAAATGGAAAAATATTCCATGCTCAAGGATAGGAAGAATCAACATTGTTAAAATGTCCATCCCACCAAAGGCAATCTACAAATGCAATGCAATACCCACTAAGTTACCAACATTATTCTTCTCAGACCTGAAAATGACAGTACAGAAATTCATATGGAAACATAAACGATCACAAATAGCCAAAACAATCCTTAGTAACAGAAACAAAGCAGGAAGCATCACACTGCCAGACTTCAAACGTTACTATAATGCTACAGTAATCAAAACAGCCTGGTATTGGTACAAGAACAGGCATATAGATCAATGGAACAGGATAGAGATTCTGGAAGCAAAGCCTCAATTTCTCAACCAACTCATCTTTGATAAAGCCTCCAACAACAACCACTGGGGAGAGGAGAACCTCAGCACCTATTCAGTAAATGGTGCTGGAAAAACTGGCTAATCACATGCAGAAGATTGAAACAGGATCCCTACCTATCACCATATACAAAAATGAACTCTAAATGGATCAAAGACCTAAACATAAAACCTCAAACCATAAGAATGTTAGAAAACGCAGGAGACACTCTTATAGAAGAAATTGGAACTGGCAATCAATTCCTATTCAGAACCCTAAGTACCCATACCTTAAGAAATAAGATAGACAAGTGGGACCTCATCAAGCTGAATAGCTTCTGCAAAGCCAAATAAACCATCAAGAGAGCAGGGAGACAGCCCACAGAATGGGAAAAAAGATTTGCCAACTATATATCTGGCAAAGGCCTAACATCTAGGATCTACAAGGAACTCAAACAAGCCAAAAGGAAAAAAACAAACAGACCCATTAAAAAGTGGGTCAAAGACATGAATAGACACTTCTCAAAAGAAGATATACAGGCAGCCAACAGACACATGAAAAAGTGCTTAGCCTCACTCATCATCAGAGAAATGCAAATCAAAACCACATTGAGATACCACCTATCCCAGGTAAGAATGGCCATCATTAATAAAACAACAACAGATGCTGGCAAGGATGCAGAGAGAAAGGAACACTTCTACACTGCTGGTGGGTATGCAAACTAGTGTAACCTCTTTGGAAGACAATGTGTCAATTTCTGAAAGAACTAGAAATTGACCTTCCATATGACCCAGCAATTCCCCTATTGGGAATATACCCGGAGGAACTCAAATCATTCCACAAAAAAGGTACCTGCACACATATGCTTGTTGCTATTCACAATAGCAAAAACATGGAACCAACCATGTTGTCCATTGAAGCTGGACTGGTTTTAAAAAATGTGGTACATATACACAATGTAATATTATGCAGCCATAAAAAAGGACAAATATATGGACTTGCAGCAACTTGGATGGATTTAGAGTCGATCATACTCAGTGATCTATCACAAAAACAAAGAACAGAGTACCATATGTTCTCACCCATTAGTGGACCCTAAACAATTATAATAGTATAAGAAAGGGATTGGCAGTAGTGGAAAATTGTCAAGGGGGGGTGGGATTGGCAGTTGAGGGAAACTGCTAAGGAAGGGAGGGTCACACCTCATCAACAAGGGTACCTGCGTAATCAACGTCTGTATATCTAACCCTGAATTATACCCCACATCTTTATAATTAAAAAAAAAAAAGAATCTATTCTGGAGAAGAATATAACCCTAGGAAAATAAGTAGATTTCTTATGAATGCTTTATACTACAGGGAAACTAAATAAGAATAAAAATTCAATAAAGTGTAAGAGTTCAAATACAAGATGCTTTTTTTAAATAACAGGAAAAAGAAGATTAGAGCAAAGAACAAATTAAAACCTAATTAAGATGAATTTATTCAAATAATTAAATTAGAAACAGCAAAACGTAAGAAAGGGAGGGGGAAAGAAGAAGGGGAGGGGAAGAAAAATAGCTGAAAACCAGACTAATAGCACAGAGAAATGAGTTGGGCTGAACATGGTTAATTGTTTTTATCTTTCTCTCTTTTTAAATTTCTTTAGACAATCAAAAAATAATGAAAGAAATGGAGGATAAGAAAATCTAATATCTCTGAGGTGGAGAACTTAACTAATGAAACAGAGAGAAAAGAGTTCAGAGACATAATACAGAATTTTCCAGCAATAAAGAAAGAACTCATCAAGGACACATTGCACATCATGAAAAATGACATAGAATGATCAACACTGAGCTACATCCTTGTTTTTCTTGCTAAATTTCAAGAAAAAATAATTTTCAGGCAAATTCAATCACACACACACATACAAAGTTACCCACAATAAAGAAAAACAAGAGTCAAAGTGTCCTCAGATTTCTTCACAGTTACATTCAGTGGCAGAAGACAATGGAACTATGTCTACAACATTCTGAGGGAAAGAAAATATGACCCAAGAATATAATAACCAGCCAAGATACTATTCAAGTATAAAGGCACTTGGCAGACATTAACACAAAAGAATGCAATAAATATAGCACCAGCAAGCCCTTCTTGAAGGAATTTCTCAATGATGAAATCCAGACAACCAAGAAATAAATCAAAGAATTCAGAACTAGAAAAGTCATGGCATAAGGCCTGGTTGCAAGCAAGCAATCATTGTAAATATAAAACTAAAACTAAACAAATAAAACAAGCAGATGAATAATAGTTATATAAGAGAATGTCAATGTTATAAACCCTGACAAAGAAAAAATAATTTGAGCAACAAGTAGTGGCAATAGGGAAAAAGAATTGGGAAAATGTATAAGAAAGGTAGCTTCTTCCTCTTTCATAGTAAATAGTCCACCAATAATGTTTAACATTGAAACAAATAAATTTTTTAAATGGTAGACCACCAACACCACTCCTAGGTATGTACCTTAAAGAAATGAAAATATACATCCACATAAAATTTGTAACAAATGTTCATAGCAGCGTTACTCTTTTATTTTAAAGATGTGGGGTACAATTCAGGGTTAGGTATACACATGTTCATCATGCAGGCACCCCTATTAATGAGATGTGCCCCCTTTCCCCAGGCAGATTCCCACTACCGCCAATCCCGCTTCCCTGCCCCCCTCCTGGCAGTTTCCCACTACTGCTAATCATTCTCTTGTAGTATTACGATAATTGTTCAAGGTCTGCTTATGAGTGAGAACATGTGACTTCACAGCAACCTGGATAGACTTAGAGTCTATAATACTGAGTGATCTTTCACAGAAACAAAGAACTGAGTAGCATTACTCATAATAGCCAAAAAGTGGAAACAACACACAACGTTCATCAATAGATGAATAGATAAACAAAATGTGGCATATACATATACATATAATGGGACATTAATTAGCCATTAAAAGGAATGAAGCTACAACATGAATGAATCTTGAAAACATTACGTTAAGTGAAAGAAGCTAGTAAAAAAAGGACCACACATTGTAAAATTTCATTTACATGAAATATCCAGAATAGGTAAATATACAGAGACAGAAAATGGATGATTGCTTAGGGATAGGGAAGGATAAGGAGGTTGGAATGGGTGCTAGCTAAAGGTTAAAAAATTTCTTTTTAAGGTGATGAAAATTTCTAAAATCAATTAAGGTGATGATTCCACAATTCTGTGAATATATTAAAAACCTTGCATTGTACACCATACATGGGTGAATCAGATAGTATGTAAATTATATCTCAATAAAACTGTTACCAAAAAAAATCACTTGAAATGTGACTAACTGCTCAATGGTTTTCATAATATTTCTTCTAAAGCTCAGAGGAATGTTAATAACTAATACGTTTTACAGTAAAGAAATATTTATTTGAAAACTAGCAATTCTCCCATTTTATTTCAGTATTTTATGTTAAATTCAAGTAAAATTAAACAGAATGTTTTTAATTTATTATATTATGATTTAATATTTTAAAGATTTTTCTGCTTATCTATGCAGTCACCACTCTATACACACAGAAGATATATGAAATGATTTTCACATAATACCAAAACTGGGGTAGTAGAAATTTGAGTGACTCTTGTTTTCTTCTTTCCTTTTTGTTTTTTTTTAAAGACTGGGCCTCACCTGCTGGCCAGGTTGGAGTGCAGCTGTGTAATCACAACTCACTGCAGCCTCAAACTCCTGAGCTCAAGTGATCCTCCTGCCTCAGCCTCCCAAGCAGCTGGGATTACAGTCCTCACCACTACACCTAGCTTTTTTTGGTTGACATGGGGTCCTACCATGTTGATTAGAAGGGTCTCGAACTCCTGGCCTTAAGCAATCCTCCCGCCTTGGCCTCCCAAAGTGATGGGATTATAGGCGAGAGCCACTGTACCCAACCTGCTTTCTTCTTTCTTGTTTCCTATACTGGTTATATTTTAAATAATGTGTTATTAGCCAGGCTCAGTGGCTCAGCCTGTAATTCCGTGCCTTGGGAGGCTGAGGTGAGTGGATTGCCTGAACCCGCGGGTTCGAGACCCACCTGGGCAACTTGGCGAGACCTCATCTCTACAATAAATCAAAAAATCAGCCGGGCATGGTAGCACGTGCCTGTAGTTCCAGCTATTTGGAAGGCTGAGCTGGAAGGATCGCCGGAGTCCAGCAGGTTGAGGCTGCGGTGGCCGGAAGTGGCCACTGCACTCCAGTCTGGGCAATGGAGTGAGACTCCAACTCAAAAAATAAATAAATAAATAAAAATAAATAAATAATGTGTTATTTTCATTTTTCTTCAAATTGTTCTTATAAAGAACTAAGTAAATATGCCAAAATGTTAATGTTTACATATGAATAGTGGGATCAGGTATGATTTTTCTCCCTCATTCTTTATTCTTTTCTGTACTTTCCAAATTTTCCTATAATTAACATCTATTATTTTATAAACAGAAGTAAGAAAAAGAATAAAAGAAGTAATGACATTTTTTTAAACAATTACTTGATTCTTACCTGGGATCCTTCTGTTGCTCCTGAATGATCTTTCTTCCTGGCCAGATATCACTCATCTGTGTCTGATGAAGGAGGGACTGCCCCATTGTCTCTCTTTTATTCACTTCATAACAAACAAAAGTATGGCAGAGTGGTGGTCATGAAGGAAGAAAACGAAAACAAGCCTCATAACATGTCCCCTGAAACACACCATCTTTCAGAAAAAATAGCAATATAATCTCTTCTAATTCCCTACAAACCAGCTGAACCCACGGAATTAAGACACCACCAGCCAGAATACACCAGCATTCCAGAGCAGAGGATGTGTCACAGGGAGCCATCTCTAGACAGGTCCAGTACCTGCAGGTTTGCGGCGCAGAGACATCCTGATTATCTCACTGCCTGTGCGGTAAGGAAAGCGATTTACTTTCTGGTCATAAAACCAGTCCCCAGTTGCTTTCTTCAGCTCTCTGAGAAGAAATAAAAGAAAATGACCAATGAATAAAGAACAGCTCTTGTTATTCAACCAACAAGGACTGAGGAAAGAAATTCTCACCACAGTTGGAGCCTCATCTCCACTCTCTATTCAGCCATAAGTGACACTTACATTTCCTTGGCGCACACCTTGCACCTCCAGATACCATTGTTTTCTTGGATGCGGCAGTCCCGACACACCAAGTGATTACAACCCCTACAAGTGTTGGTCTTGGGAGTCAAACGGCCCAGGCTCTCCTGGCACCGGGCACAGGTTCGATCACTGTAGTGTTGACTGCCCCTCTTGGCCCCTTTCCTTTTTATCTCCAGTAACTCATTCTTCAGTCGCCTGCCAAGATCCAAAAGAGAAGTGCAAGTAGATTCAGGATCTGCATAGGCTGAATGGAGAGGGGCTGAGGAGTAAGGACAGTAAGACTAATTGGTTCTGTGAAAGCAACAAACTCAGAGCCCAACTTGACCCAAAGAGGAGTGGTAAACATAAGTTTCTCCAAAAGTCAGATGGGAGATATAAGAAAAAGCCCAGATAATATTGGTCAAAGGCCTGGGGACCCATGCTTCTTGGTAGGTCTTTTACCTAATCCTTTTCTCATCTGCTTTCCGGAGCTCCTCATCTCGCTGTAGAACATTGAGGATCAAGTCCTTTTCCACCTCAGACAGAAAAGAGAGGTCCAGTATCTCTGACATGTTATTCTACTTTCTCTTTTACTCTTCCTTCTTCAAAGTAACCAGACAAGGAGAGCTACCAGAGTTGCCTGAAATGAGAGAAGAATTAATTTCACACAAATTATTTACTACAGAATAGGTCCACAGCCCTAGGGTCTTTCAATAAACTACCTCCCCCTTGAGCCAAGCTAAAGAGACAAAGGAGAAGTATCTGACCCAATTACCATTTCTACTCCCACATGAATCATGCCCTGAAAATGAAGAGGCTTTGATTTTTCTTTTCTTTTTAAATGTTTATATTTTATTTTAAAGATATGGGGTACAATTCAGGATTAGATATACAAGTGGTCATCGTACAGGTAAAGTTTGGGCCTCTCATTGGTCCCCACTTTGCTTGATTTGAGATCAGGTACACTTATTGATGTTGTGTCCCCACTCCCACCCCAGCAGTATCCCACTACCGCCAATCCCTTTCTTATAGTATTATGGCAAATGTTCAGGGTCCACTTATGAGTGAGAACATGTGGTACTCTGTTCTTTGTTTCTGTGATAGATCACAGTATGATAGACTCTAGGAAGAAAATGTTACTCTTTACTGAGAAAGGGTTGGGTCTTTCAGCATAAGCATCTTAGTCTGGAAAGAGCACAGAACGGCTGAGTCAATCTCCCCTTCCACCCAGTGAGTCCTCAATCATCTAATGTTTAATACCTTAAATATTCTCCAGTCCCAAGTCTACTAACCCAAATAATCAAGCAGCTGGTCTCTAGTGGAAAAGCACATGAGAATTCCTGCCAATTTAGGCCCATTTCTGTATCTCTGACCAGTTTCCAACTTGCCAGGATTCAGTCAGCTTTCTGCTATGCTTCAAAAACTCCACCGCCTACTGCACCTCCCAAAGTTCTTATTGATCAGCACTACCTCAAGAACAGCTTCCCCCATCTCATGAACATTTGTGAAGCACTACTCTGTCAGACACTGTGCGAAGTCCTGGGTATACAGAGATGAGTAAGACACAGTTCCTGCCCTGAAGAAGTTCACAGAGTAGCTGAGGAGACAGACACACATAAATATAGTACAATGTACTAAACACTATCAGAGGGAATATAAATTAAGTGCCATGGAAATTTAGAGACAAAAGTAACCTAATTCTATCTTGCCTAAAAAGGGGAGAGAGAGCACTATATACATGGGAAGTTTTATAGAAGAGGTGAATTTTGCCTTATCGAACAGAGTACATATATGTTGGCGGGGGAGAATGGTAGGAAAGATGATTTGGGCCTTAAATACTTTTAAAAATTAAGAATTTTAACATGTATTATATAGACAATAGAAATCCACCAAATACCTTGGGTGCTTTGTGATGCTAAAAAATCACATGATCAAATTTATTTTACAAAGATTACTCTAGCTATAATATGAAAGATTAACTCAGAGAACAAATTGAAGGGCAATATGGTAGTACAACTATTTTAAAATAGGTATATTATTTAACCAAGAAATACCACTTCTAATAGTCTACCTAATAGAAATATTCACACAAAAGTGTATGTAAGGGTGTATGCACAAGAATGTTACTGCAAGATTATTCATAAGAACAAAAAAAAACTTTCTTAACAGAAGAATCATTTAACAAAATAATACAAAATCATATGTCCATGTAATGGAATGCTATACAGCCATTAAAAATGTAGTAGATATATATGTACTGACATGAAAATATGTCTATGAGTGAAAAAAAGGCATTGAACAATGCCAAAAGATCTCTTTCATAAAGTATTTATCTAAACATTTGTATATGCAAAAAGAAAAGTCTAGAAGAAAAACCATTATCATTAGTTTTTCTTGGGGAGTAGAATCGGGAAGGGGCAACTTTCACTTTTTTTATTTTTATTTTTTGAGTTGGAGTCACACTCTGTCACCCAGTCTGGAGTGCAGTGGCCGCTCCCGGCCACTGCAGTCTCGACCTGCTGGGCTCCGGCGATCCTTCCGCCTCAGCCTTCCAAGTAGAGGAACTACAGGCGCGTGCTACCACACCCGGCTAATTTTTTGATTTATTGTAGAGATGAGGTCTTAACTTTATATAGTTCTGATTTGTTTTGACACAGTCTTCCTTTTATATCTCCAAGAAGGAAACAATACGAAGAAGGCAGAGACATTATTACAATAGTCCAAGCAAAAGACAACCTAGATCTACTAACTGGCCTCTAGCCAATTGGACAAGTCATTTTTAAAAATTTTTTTAGAGAAAGGGTCTCACTGTATTGCCTAGGCTAGCCTTGAACTTTCGGGCTCAAGCAATCCTCCTGCCTCAGCCTCCGAGGTAGCTGGGACTGTAGGCACACACTATCTTGCCTAGCAGGACAAGTCATTTTATTTCTGACCCTCTGGTTTCTCATCTACAAAATGACCTACCTCAAAGGTTGTTAAGAAAATTAAATAATGTGTGTTAAAAGGTTAATCACAATGTTTGGAGTGCAAATACTTGCTTAATCTCCTAAAATGATAAAGGCCTGAGCCAGCAAGCAAGAAAGAACAGAGAATCTATTTGAGAAGTAGAAATGACAGAATGGAGTGACTGAGTGGAGAGTATGAAGAAGGGAAGTCAAAGATGTCTAGCTCATATATCTAGGTCAAACAACTGACTGGCTAGGGGATAGCCCTCAAAACAGCAGAAGATCTAAGGAAAGAAACCAGTTTGGAAGTAAGGCAAGCAGTTTTGTTTTAACCATATTAAGTTTGTGTTACATACTGGACATTCAGGTAATTAGGTCTTAAAAAGTAGTTGGAGACACAGGGCTGGGCCATGGGAAGAAAAACTGTATCTAAAAATAAACATTTAGTAGCCATGGGAGTCAAAGAGCCCATGGTGGACAGAGAGTGAAAACGTAAATGAAGGTCATATCTGCTCTCCCCTGAAACTAGACGACAAGCTCTTTTTACTTTGTTTTATTATTTTTTTTTACTAATTAACTACAAGACAATAAAGATTATAAACAACACAACAAGCCTACACTGGTTCCTGAACCTCAATATTTTGACTTGTCTATTTCCTGGTCTTTATTAAACTATAAGATGCAAAACCTCTTTCACAGGCCTTTTGCCCTTTATTTGATAGTCTTGAGGAAGTCTTAGTTCTTATCCTCAAAGAGAATATATACTCTCCATGAAAACAAGAACTTTTTCAATAATCTCCTATGTATCTGTCCCAGTGCCTAACACAATATCTGGTATATAGTGTTGCATATGCTTCCAATATTACTTACTGATCATCATCACTGTCACTGTAACCCCAACTGTTCCATGTATTGAGAATTTACCATGTGGCAAACAAGTACATTAAATTTATTAGCTAATTTAACCCTTCACCACCACCAAAAGTGACTACTATTATCCCCATAGTGCAGGTAAGGATTCAGGAGAGATTAGGCAAGTTTGCCCAAGAATAAAGAACAAGTAAGTGAAGTTGCTGGGATTCAGCCCGGGCAAGTTGATTCTAGAGCTGGTGCTCTACTGGCTCTATCCAGGCAGGATCATGATCCAAGCAATTATAAAATATTGAACAGAGTAATCAAAAGCATTGTCGTTATCCAGGCATGGTGACAGGTGCCTGTAGCCCTAGCTACTCAGGAGGCTAAGGTGGGAAAATTGCTTGAGCCCAGGAGTTGGAGGCTGCAGTGAGCTACAACTATGCCACTGCACTCTAGCCTGGGTGACAGAGTTAGACCCTGTCTCAATTTTTTTTTTTTTAAAAAGAGCATCGTGGAAACGAATTCCCATGTGTGATTATGGCTAGAGCACTGGCCAAAAAATCAGTGGCTCCTAGATAAAATAGGTATTACCAGTTACCTGTCAGCTAAAAACCAAGGATAGCACAGACGCACTGGAAATGAGAACAATACCAGATTATTAGAAAACTGGTGCTTGTGGAGAGGCAGCAGCATAATTGTGATGAGAAAGGCACATTGGCATGATAATGAGACCAAATAATATCAAAAATCAGGGAAGTAAGAAGATCTTGGAGGAAATAAAGATAGTACCATAAGAAAATGGAACTGCTAACATTGTATACCTTCCCTTTATTTTTCACTCATGGACCTGACCAATCATAAATGCTCCCCTGTTAAATCTTAAATTCAAGAATCTTCACTTGCCAACCACAGCTCACTCCCACTATACCCATTCTTCAACCTTATAAAGACCATAGTCTCTTGAGCCCTACATTTTATCTTGGTCCACTTGCCTCCTGCTGATATATCTTCCTTCCCTTCCCATCCTGAACTACAGAGGGCTTAACATTTGAACCTCTCTCACCAGTAGCTTCCATATCCATGTACCTTCATCCCTCTGCTACAACTGCCCATGAAAATCCCAAACCTGCAGTATAGCCTACCTTATCTGCTCCCATACCCAGGTACTACATAATTCCTAGTCTACAACCTCAGCTGGACTCTCACTGTCACCCATAAATCCTGCTACTTGTGCTTATTCAGTTCCTTTACCTACTCCCATTGAGTTCTAGTTTAAGTCTTCATTCATCTCACATTCCCACTTCCTTTCCCTCCAGTCTCATCATATATCCTTGTCTCAAGTTTGTAAAATAAAAAAATTGAAGTCCATCAGCCATGGACTCTATTAGCTCCCTTCCTCCCTTCCCCATCACTTGCCAACCCAACTCCTTTCAAAAAAAGCCATAGCCCACCTCCAGCCCCACCTTCCACTATGGGTTGCTGTTGTTTCCAACACTAACCCTTTTACCAGCCAATTTGCTTAAGATGAGATCTTGCAGACTCAGTAGTGGGTGAATAAAACATATTAAGGACAAAAAAGTAAAAGGCAAAGGAAAACATAGAAAAAAAATTCAGACAAAGAGAAAACAAAAGATGAGATGGTAAAAGCAAGTTCAAATATATCGATGAATATAAAACTCATATGAGCAAAACTCATCCTTTAAAATACAGGGACTAGCAGATTAGATGAAAGAAAAAAAATCCAGCTATGTACCATTATAAAGGACACATCTAAAACACAAATTCAAGTAAAGATTGAAAGTAAACAGATGGAAAAAGATACACTAGGTAAATGCTAATC